CCACAGAACCACAAGAGCTCTCCCATTTTGCAAACTGTTGTTGCACCTGAAAAGTTTCAACCTGAAAAGCAGGTCTGTGTTTTAGAATCTTTAACTATCTCATCTCTGCCTCACGCCAGCCCTGAGTCCTGAGCAAGATATGCATGGGAGTTCTCATTTGAGGACAGTTATTGACACCTTTTCATTTAAGTTGGCATCACTCTGATTCCAGTGTAGTGAGGCGATTAGGGGAGTTGGGCAAGTGGGGATGTGAAGCCAAGAGTCCAAGTAAGAGATGATAAAGGCTTGAACAGGAGTAGTGACAGCAGGGACTGAAGGTGGAGGTGGACTCTCGGGGTACTGTCAAGATGAGGAAGAAGCACTGTTATCCACTTCCTCTTCCTTCAAACCAACCTGAAGAAAAGAACAAAGAAAAGAAGGAAGAAGCCAGAGGTTGTCTAGATCTGGTCTGGGGAAGGGAGAGGACTAGAGTTTGGGCAGAGTGGCAACAGGTTCAATGGAGGCTTTTAAATTCCAATCTCACCAATCCTCACATTGCACAGGGACAACTACTGCCTGTCCCTTTAACAATTCCCAGCAATGTTAAGAAAGTAACAAAACAGGTCAGGCTGTCCAGTCAGCAATTATTCCTCCACCCATCCCTCCAAAATCTCTGAGCTGAGGGGATACAGCCTACAGAGGCTTCCTCCTTCCTCATCCAGAGCAGCTGATAGGAACAACGTGAGGGAAGGACATTCGTGGTGTCTCCATCTTGGGGTTTATCCTTTCCTCTCCACCTAAAGTCACCTGGAGGGGCTCAGACCGAGGCCTGACATCAGCACACAAGAGGAAAACATGAAAGTGCTCACCAGTGTTGTTGTGGAGGCCAGGAATTGGAAATTATCTGGGACCTTAAAGCCACCACATACGATGAGGCAGTTAGAAACGATAGGCTACATTGTGGTATTCAACCAGGGCTCCCGATTGTCCCCAGGAGACACATGACAATGTCTGGAGACATTTTTTATTGTCATAACTAGGATGGGGATGGGAACAGGGCTGCTGTACTGGCACCTATGGGCCAGTGGCCAGGGTGCAGCTACATCCTACACATCATTCCTGACTCCTTGAGAGTCTAGCAGAAGCAGAGACGAAGTAATCTCACAATAAAAAGGGAGAACTGATGGAGACTGGTAGGATGTAGGGTTTCCCCAACTCCCCCACTGCACATAGCACAAAAAGTCCCTCCCTCTCCATCCTTTGCTTAAACAACACTACAGAACAAGATGAGTCAGCCGGGCTACATACCAGCTTAGGACTTCTACTGTGCTGTGCGCACAGCAAGCACACAGCAGATGTTTGCTGAATGAACAGATGAAGGCTATACAGTTAGGCACAACTGAATGACTCAAAAATGTCTGAGCCTTAACCTTTCAAGGGAGGAAACTGGAATAAAAGGAGAACACAAAGGGCTAGATAATAGCAAGGAGTACACGTGTAGATGGACCGGCTACTCCTGTCCCTCCCTCCTCCAGCCCATGACCTCTTTACACCAAGCTACTTGAAGTTCCTTAAGCAACACACGCTCCAGCCCTTCCAGCCTGGACTCATCTTCCACATCTGGTTGACCCACCTGTTACTTACACCCCAAGCTCCGCAGCCCTCCCTCACTCTGGTGGAATTGACCTCTGCCCTCCTTTGTGCCCGTGCACACCTTCATACTTGCCTCTGTAGCACTTATCATAGCTTCTGACTATGATTTGATTATGTGCCTTCTGGAAAGCAGGAACTAAATCCTATTCACTGCCAGAATCAAAGAGATGAATCTAGCCAGGTGCTTGTGGCTCACTCCTGTAATTCTAGCTACTCAGGAGACAGAGATGAGGAGAATCACTGGGTTTGAAGCCAAGCCTGGGCAAATAGTTCCCAGAGACCCTATCTTGAAAAACCTATCACAAAAAAAGGGCTAGTGGAGTGGCTCAAGCAGTAAGAGAGCCCACCTAGCAAGTGTGAGGCCCTGAGTTCAAGCCTCAGTGCCACCAACAAAAAGAGAGAGAGAGAGAGAGAGATGAATCTAGGGCTTAGTATATTATCAATGTTCAAGGTTGAATGAATGAACCAGCATTGTGCGACAAAAGGAATATGATAAAAATCCATGCCCTCAAAAGCATACCCTCTATTTGACAAGGGAAAGATAAATGTATGAACTAAAATTAAAGGGGTTTGCCAGAAATATAAAGGAGATGGTTGTTATAAGGAATATGCTTGTTTGCTTGGTTGCTTTTTGTTTTTAAGGCAGGGTCTTTCTCTGTAGCCCAGGCTGACCTCAAATTCAGGTTCCTCCTACCTGAATCTCCTGAGTTCTGAGTGCTGGGATTACAAACATGTGCCACCACGCTCTGCAGATAGGCGTTTTTTAACATGTAAATAAATTAAGGTCTGTGTGTCAGAATGCAACTTCCTGAGGGCATCCAATTAAATAACAAGTATTTTCAGGTAGTTTGAGAGATCAGTGGCCTTTTACCATGGTCTTTGTCATTGAGTTGATAGCAATAAAAGACAACTAAGACGGTGCTCGTTATCATGAATGCCTAACACATAGTAAGTGCTCAATAAACTTACTGAATAAGTAAGTTTATTCTTTCTAGTCTTTCTATTTTTTAAGACACGGTCTCCCTATGTAGCCAAAGCTGGCCTGGAATTTCCATCCTCTTGCTGCAGCCACTCAAATGCTAGGATTATGAGCATTGGAATCACACTTAGCTCTGATCTTGTTAATCACAGAGAAAGTCTGTGAAAGGTATGTCAGGAGTTTGAGTTACTTAGTATATACCTATTTCTCATAATGAAAACAGAACTGGATCCAGGGCCCAGACCTTCCCCTGTAGTTAGTGCCCACGTGTCAAAAGGCTTATTCTTGCTCCTTTGTGTTTACATCGTATATGCTCACCAGATTCTCTTCAGTTCCCCTGGTTCCCTGGCCACCAAAAAGAGCTCACTAAGCTAACCTCACACTTGGGAGCAAGTTTAAAACACGAGTACAGGAAGACTGGACACCTGGTAAACAGTACTTTTCTGATTGTAGTTGAACAATGAGAAACTACAATCCAGAAGCCAAGGACTGAGAAACTCTGGAACAAAGATCCCAGCCAATCAAAAAAAAAAAAAAAAGCTGCAACCTGTGACCTTCGGAATAAAAAAAAAAATCAATAAAGGGAAGTGAGAGAGTGTGACAGAGGGAAAAGAACTTTGTCATCAAAGATGGTGCGGTGCTGGGAGCTGGTGTCTCACACCTGTAATCCTACTCAGGAGGCAGAGATCAGGAGGATAGCAGTTCAAAGCCAGCCTGGGCAAATAGTTTTCAAGACCTTATCACAAAAAGAAAGTACATTCAGAAGACAGAAGAAATCTCATTTCTAAAGGCAACTAGACTCTTCTGTTTGCAAAACACATCAGGACTCTAAAAATATTAGAATGTTAGGAGAACAAAGTCATTGCTAGTTGTTATTGCAACTCTGTAAAGTGACATCTGCTGTATTGTGTGCCCCAGCCTCAGGGCCGCTGGCATGTGGCAGTCACCACATATTCCCATCACCCCAGAATGGACAGAGCTACAGTAACAACTAAATAACTCATGCAGGGCACAGAAGTGAGCCAGGGTCTGTCTGCCCACGGTTGTGTAGTCAACCAATTAATCCTCTCCAAGCCCTTCAGGGTAAGTGCTCTCTCAAGGTTGGGGACTTTTTTTGATGAGAATTGTACCCATGCTAACCATGCACTCTACTCCTAAGCTACACTCCCAGCCCCTGTAGGTCCATAATTACCTACTCTTTCAAGAGCACAGAGAAGCTAAGTGACTTGCCCAAGGCCAACCAGCCAAAATCGGAATCTAGAATTTGTGCTTTTATCCGTAGTACCGCCCTACTGCCTCCCGGGTGAGCACTTACACCTAAGCACTGGAGGAGACAAAGTGAATTCTGACCAACTTCTCCTTCGGGCACATACATCTATTTAAAACTGTACTTATTTTTATAGCAAAAACGCATACACCTTTATCGATCTAGTTTTGAAAATGGTATGGCCTTCACCATCTTTAAAGGGAAATCTATTTTGTTAAAAGGGCAAAAGAGCAAACGCCCAATTCAAGAGGTGCGGGTACATTTAGACCAGGGCTTGCAGGCATCACCCTAACAGGTCATCATCTCATGGCCCTGGGCAAATTGCTTCTCCGTTTCTCCATCTGCAAAGTGGATATGCTGTTATCCACACAGATTGCTAAACGCAGGGCCTGGCACAGCGTGAGTGCTCGGTAAATCTAGGCTTTCATTATTTAGATCCTGGGTTGTGTGAACTTCCAGGATGAATTCCTCCAGTAACCACACAAGTGCTTCCCCCAGAGTCGCTGCCAACTCCTACGAACATTTCTCTCTCCATTCCATAGAGCACAGTGACACCGGACACCGGCTTCCCCGGACTGCAGCCCTGGAAGTGACAATGTCACCTCACTGAGGCCCAGGAACAAGGCAAGCACTGGTCTCCCGCCACGCAGCAGCATAAAACTTAACCGGATTTCCCACTTGAGTGAGCTTCGGTTAGAGGAGGTCACCTGGCCGGGTCTGACAGGATTGCAGGGAGAAAGAATGCGGGCGCGGTGCCAGGAAGTGCAGCCCTTCCACCTGCCAAGCGCGAGGGTGGGCACCCTCCTTCAAAAGCATCCGGGGGGCTTCGTCCCCTCCCGCCCCGAGGCCACCAGGGACCTAACAATGCCAACAGGCTGGATGTTTCCCAGATCTCCGAAATGCACTGCCAGGATTTCTGCGCGGGAGCCAATGGAGGAGCACCCCGCGCCCCAGGCAGCCAGGTGGGGCGCAACATCCCCGATGCGCGCGTGCAGTGCTCAGAGCCAAGGTCCGCGCAGCCGCCACCTCGGCCTCCGCGCTGCGCAGACACGTGCGCGGGGTCCCCAGCCGCCTGGCCCGCGCCCCGCCGCCTCCCGGGGCCGCCGCGCGCTCCGCACTCACCAGGTGAAGAGTTTGCCTTGGATCCGGCGCAGCTGGCTGCCGATCGCGCCCGCCGCTCCCCGTGCGCGGGGCTGCGGGGCTCCGGCACTCGCCGGCGAGTCCGCCTCCATGGGGTCCCCCGCGCCCGGAACCCCGCGAAGTGCCGGGGCCCGGAAGACAGGAGGCGGCGCCTGTGCGGCCGGCGGGGACTCGACTCGCGCCCTGCGCTCGCGCTCCCTCCTCGGCGCTCCTCGCGCTCCTGGGCCGGGCTCCTTCTTCGGCGACAAATCATTAACTGTCAAGCCCCAAGGGCCAGACAGTCCGTCTGCAGATCACAGCCTGGCACCTCCTGGGCAGCAGCAGGAGAAAGGGCAATCTTTGTTTTTTGTTTTTTTTTTTCACCCTGGCACCCAATGTGCATTTCAGGTTTTTATGGTTCCTTGTGTGAAATCACCAAATGAGGTGATCCGAGGTGAATGGGACTGGTTCCCAAGGTGTCCTACCCTGAGCAGCAGGGAGTTAGGAACCGGCTGAACGTTGATAATTGGAAGGCCCCCGTGACCTCTCTCTCATCCCCCAGATAACCCCGTCTAAAAGAACTGACGGAAAACAAGGGGGAGATCCTAAAAGAATGCTGCAAATGACTTGTGGAGTGCTGCGAGGCGCGGGTCCTTCCTGGCGGTGAGCTCGCTTGGCCATGCGACACGCAGAGCCATCTCGGCGGTGCCTGGGAAGGGACGCGGCCCGCCGCCGCCCAGCCAGGATGCCTGGGCCTGGACCACGCCTCCTGGTGCTTCCGCGGACCCAGGAGGGACCCAGAGGGACTACGGGCTGGGGTGGGGAAGTTCCTGAGCCTCGCTGACATAAGGGCCATAGATCTGGTTGAACCCGTGCTTCCGGAAAGGAGGAAACCAGGAAGACAAAAGGAGAGGTGTGGGGACCACGCCCCCCAAATCTCTACGTCCGCATCCTCCTCCTCCTTCCCTGAGGGTGTAGGGGGACAAAAATGAGCTGTTCCAGACAGTCAATGCACATGAGTGAGCAGTTCTGTGAGAAGGTACTAAGAAAAATAATAGGTTTTAAAATCAAGTGTAGTTTGGGGAAGTCTAAGTTTTCCAACTACAGGAACCTCAAAATTTAAATGAAATGATTTTGTCTCAATTGTTGAAGTAGAGGCTGAGGCTGAGGGTATAGCTCAATGATAGAGCACCGCCTAACACGTGGAGGCCCTGGATTCATCCCCAGCACCACAATAAATAAATGACTAAATAGTCGATGAGAGGTGGAGGTGAGGACTGAAAACTAAGAAGATGGTCATGCAGAGAGGCCTGAGTATTCCAAAGCAACCACAGCACGAGCTCTCTGAGGACATGAGAAGTACACTTAATATCATCTAGGTTTAGTAAAACGCAGCCCATTAAAGCCTGCATCTTGACAAGGTTGAATTTTACCTGAGCTCTGTGCTTCTGGAAAAAAGTGATGACTAAGAAAACTTCAGACTGGTGGAGTGACTCTTAGAGCCCCCTGAGTTTAAACTCCAGTACCACCAAAAAGAAAAAGAAACTTGCATGCTTTGTGTTCCTGTAAATGACACAGCACAAAGCATCATCTTCCCCCATAGGTTTAGGTAAGACCTACAAATGTCCCTTTGTTGTTTAGGGCAAGACTAGACACAGATTCTGCAAATTCTCATTCTTTGCTCCATAAATGATAGGCTGAACTGCTCACGTCCACGCACCAAGCAGAACAAAATGTTTATTAACCAAGGAAAAAAAAAAAAAAGGCTTTTTGAGATAGTCTCAAAATGTAGCAAAGGCTGCCCTTGAACTCAGATTCTCCTGCCTCACCCTAACCAAGCTCTGGGATTACAAAACCTGCAACACCACCCTCAGCATTAACCAAATGTTGGTTAAATTTCTGTCCTTCCCCCAGGCCTTGAACTTTCACCCTCCCTATCTGCCCCTCCTAAAAACAAGTCAGCCTCAGGGCAGAACATTCTCTGATTTACTATCGATCTAGCCACCCTTTCCTTCTGCTTCTCTGCAGTCCCCTCTTCCCACTGTAGTAATTCTTCCTCCACTTGTAATAATTCCTTCAAATAAAGCTTCTCCTTGTCATTCGTATGCACGAGCCTCTAGGTTTGATCCCCAGTACCAAAAAAGAGGGTGGGGGAAAGACTTTTTTTTTTTTTAGAAAAAAGAAAACAGAGAAAATTTAAAAAAAAAAACATAAAAGGGGAGGAAAGGTATGTATATGAAAAGCAAAGCAAAAAAAACACCTTGGGATGGGGGCTAGCGGAGTGGCTCAAGTGGTAGAGTGCCTGCCTAGCAAGCATGAGGCCCTGAGTTCAATCCTCAGTACCACCCAAAAAACCCTTCAGCATGTATGATATCGTCTTTGGTTTTATGATTAAAAAATGGATTTAAATATGGCAGGCTGAATTATGTCCCCACAAAATATCCAAGCTGGAATCAGTAGGACCTGAGATGGTCATACACAGCAAAAAAGACTTTGCAGCGATGATTCAGTGAGACGTCATGAGATGGGGAGATGTCCTGAATTATCTGTGGGCCATAATGTCATCCCAAGTGTCCTCATCAGCGGCAAGCAGGGGGGAGTTTATGCCAGAAGAGACGACTGCATGAGGTTGGGGTGATACACTTCAAAGATGGAGGGAAGTGCTCAAGCCAAGGAATTTAGGCAGCGCCAGAAGCTCAGAGCCAGACAGAAAGTAGGGTGTGAAAGGGTATACACCAGGCAGTTGATAAAATTAAATCACGAGGTTTAATAAGGGTCAATATCATCATCTTGTGTTTTTCTGGAATATACTAATTTCAAAAGCATTCAATTAAGGGTTTGCTTTTTTTCATCCTTTTTTTTTTTTTTGGTGGTACTGGGGTTTGAACTCAGGACCTCAAATTTGCTGGGCAGGCCTGTACACCTTGAGCCACTCCACCAGCAAGGTATTTTTCAATAAGCCACATTAATCTTAATTTAAAACATGTTAGGCTCAACATAGCCTTCCTAGGGGAAAATGGGAGCAGAATATAGAGACAACTACTGATACAGATTCTAAATTTACAAAGTTGCTTGTGTTTTCTAAACACAAAGTCCTCCTCAAAAAGTGGCAATAGTGGTACTTTCTAGCATTATTCCAAAATGAGCTCATCTCCTTACTGAGTAAGGAGTATTGATCAGTCTACATTATTTTGTTATCAGGATTAAAATACATTGATTTGATCTATGGGCACCAATCCACAAGTTTTTGTCAAAGTAAATTTACTGGAAAAAAAAATTAGGTGTTGGAAATTTTTCACATAACAACCATAATTCTTATTAATATATATTTTTTAAAAGTCAGCTGCCACTTACCGAGTACTTGCCTTTTACCAGATACTTTATAATCTATTGTATGTGTCAAACCAACACCAAATATTTGTGTTTTCAAACAATCATTTTATTATCTCTTGTGGTTACGGAGAGTCAGGAGTTCAGGGAGGTATGGACTAGGCTGTTCTGGCTGGAGGGCTGTCATGCAATTGCAGTTGCAAGTTAGAAGGGAGGAGGTTAGGGCAGGGACATGGAATACCTAACTAGCCTGTCTCTCCATCCAGTTTCAGAGGCACTCCATGGCTCTTTCTTTGTAGATTAATTTGGACTTCCTCACAGCCTGGTGCCTTCAGAGTATTTGATCTGCTTACTTGCCAGTGATCCCACCCCAGGCAAGTGCCCTAAGAGGAGAGTCAATGTCTTCTAACCAATGACCACCATAAAGTCTCTCCTTCCTAAATCAGATGTGTTTTTTTATTTGATAATATATATATATATATACTCATATATATAATCATATGTATTATATGATTATGTGAGCATAGAGAAAAGTACAGGATGTAGGTCAATATAAGTAGCCTTAAAAGAAGGAGGTATGCAGAAAGCAAGAAGAAAATGCATTTCAAAAATAAACTGGGCTGGGGTATACCTCAGTGATAGAGTGCTTGTCTAGTGTGTGCAAGAACCTGGGTTTGATCCCCAGACCATAAGAAAGCAAAACAAGCCAGGCACCAGCGACTCACGCCTGTAATCCTAGCTACTCAGGAGGCAGAGATCAGGAGGATCACAGTTCTAAGCCAGCCCAGGCAAATAGTTCTCAAGACCCTATCTTGAAAAACTTCATCACAAAAAAGGGCTGGTGGAGTGGCTCAAGGTTTAGGCCCTGAGTTCAAGCCCCAGTACTGAAAAAAAAAAAAAAACGAAAGAAAAACAAAACAAAAATACTCAACTCTTGCAGGTGTAATATAGTCCCTTCATGAAGTGTGTGCTTTGTAGAAATACAGAAGATATATGAGTAGTTAAACAGATTGAATTTGTTACCCTTTACGATAAGAAAGAATGCATATCCATGCAACCATGGATGTCTTAGTTAGAAGGTATTAAGAAGAACCTAGGACAGTCAGTCCTCTGTACCCATGGGTCCACATCCTTGGATTCAACTAACCACAGGGCATATATATATATATTTTTTTAAATGCCATAAAAATTGCATATGTGGATCTGGCACAATGGCTCTCATCTGTAATCCCAGCTACTTGGGAGGCAAAGATGGGAAGGATCACAGTTTGAGGCCGGCCTGGAAAAAATAATAGAAAGACCCCATCTCAATCAATATGTCAGGCATGGTAACTCCCATCTGTGATCCCAGCTATGAGAAAACCACAGGTAGAAGGATCATGGTCAGAAACACAAGATCCTATCCGGAAAAAAAACCCAAAGCATAAAAAGGGCTGGGGGCGTGGCTCAAGTGGTAGAGTACCTGCCTAGAAAAACTCAAGGATGCCAAGAAGAATACATTATATTAGATATGTTAAATGATTTAAGGTGTAGGGGAGGAGGCAGGGCATGGTGGTGTATGCCTGTAGCCCTAGTTACTGGGGAGGATGAGCCAGGAGAATGGCATGAGCCCACAAATTTCAGTGTAACCTGGGCAACACAGCAAGATGATGTCATCTCAAAATAAACAAACGAAAATACAGTACTCAAGAGAGGATGCTAGATTATATGCAAATATTATGCTATTGTATAACGGACTGGAGCATCCTTGGATTGTGGTATGGATGAGGTGGGGGACAGGATCCCGTCCCAGAAAACACTGAGCAATGAATGACTATCTGAGGATAGTCAGAGCAAGATGGCAGCCAAGATCCTTCAGTGATCATCTCTCCACAGGAATACCAAATTGAGAAGATACTTACGCACAAAACTACCTTCACAGGACCTAAGGAGAGGCCATAATGCCTGCTTTTAGTATAAGGAAATGAAAAGACATATTGAAGATGGCAGGAAGGAAAGAATACCCTTCTCCTCCCCTCCCACTACCCCAAGCAGTCCAGCACAAGAGAAGTCCCTGCTTAGAAGAGAGACAGAGCTAAATCCAGGCCCTTGACTTGAAACTCCCCACCACAGCGACACCCAGTAGAATGAGACTCTAGAACTGCATTAGACCCCATGGCTGACTACAACCACACCCTCCACCAACCTCAGGCAGAACAAGGAGTAAGACTCCACCTGCCAAAGAGCAGGGCACAAAAGCTAGCACAGGTCTTTGTCTTGAAGCCCAGAGACAGGCCCTCCACGGTGAGATCCAACCCCCTGGAAAAACTGAAAACCCTGTACGCAGATCAAAGTCCACAGATGGAGCCTAGACTGGCTCCGACATCAGGTAGAGACCTGTGCACATCATTTGCAGTCTTGGAGAGGGCTTGGGGCACATCCACCCTCCTCCCAAGACTGTGAAGGCCCCTGTGGTTTAGATGCATCCCAGCTTAGTGTCACTTAGTGACCAAGGGGCTGTCTCCACCACC